AAGCAGCAGAAGCTGAGAGGTTCTCCTATTGATGGTAGATTATTATACATTAATTGCTGTTAATGTTATGTATTAGGTTTTTCTACTCTACAGAGCTTTGGAATATAAACACACCTGTGTGTGAATGTGACTGCATGTGTATGAAATTTACTATGTATGCTTGCCAGTGGTGAAATCCAATTTTTTTTTTTACTACTGGTTCTGTGGGCGTGGCTTGGTGGGCAAAGCAGGGGAAGGATACTGCAAAATCTCCATTCCCACCTCACTCTGGGGCCAGCCAGAGGTGGTATTTGCTGGTTCTCTGAATTACTCAAAATTTCCGCTACCAGTTCTCCAGAACTTGTAAGAACCTGTTGGATTTCACCCCTGATGCTTGCATATTGCTTACTCCATATATTAAAGGCAATTATAAAACAAAATCTAAAATCTATCAAATTTTCAACTTGATATAAAGGCATTTTTAAGGAAGGAAAGAAGGTTTTCAAAACCTTCAAAACATGGCAGATAAGGACTGGATAACACTTTAGCTTTATCTCTTAAGTGGAGGCATTAGGCCATTCATTATGGAATCTTGGCGAAATCTGTGGACCTGTGAGTCCAAGAGAACATCCGGTTCAAGAGTTGCTATTTCAGAGGAAGCATAACCCTGTCTAGAACCATCATTGGAACCAAACAGGAGTGCTAATGTTTTCATAAGAACAACTTATTTGGGATTTAACCTGTTTCATTTTATTTGGTACAACGTAGCTTGCAGGAAATTATCTCCATTACATCTCAAATTGGTCTTGGAAAGGTGATATAATAGAGGCATATTTGACCTCTCTCAGAAGTATCATGTATATGTTAAATAATGTAACCTTATCACAAGATCAACTTCTCTTGTCCCATGACAATGCCTGAAACTGCACAGTCAGGAAGGAGCAGACTCACGGTAAAAAAGTCTTTCATTCCCCAAACCTTACAGGGAGTCCAGAGAGATATTATGGTCAATAGTAATGAACAAGACCAAAAGGGACATAGTCCCTCCTTTTAGGTCTTAACAAAATTAATCCACCAGAACAACCAGTGTAGCTTTGATCCCAGACCTGCATCTTGACTGGAAGGGATCTAGATAATTTACTTCATCTAAGTTCCTCTGATATTCTTCAACAGCCTCCAAAATTGTCCCCAGTGTTGAAGGTTGGAGACCAGACAGAAGTTATATAAAAGAGCTGGACTGAGAGGCTGTGCCCTTGTGGTAGTGGCAGGAGAGGACATAACTTTGTCTACTTTAAGGCAATTTCTTGGCATTTCTTTTTCTCAAAGAAGCATTGATCATCTCCTGAAACCAACCACATATATGCTTGTTGTCTAAAGGACCCAAATAGGGGATAAGTGACTGAGCTGATATTCTGAAGAGAACCCTGCCTATTTCTTCACTTTCCATAAAGTTAAATGAAATCCAGATAGCATTATAAGATAGTGCCCTAGTTGGGGGTTAGACGTGATCCCAGTGGCATCTAACTAGAGCAAATACAAATTATTTTGTCTGCAAAGAATCTTACAAATGTTGCAGCCTCATCTTTTCCTCACATCCTTTCTGGGAAAAGAATCAGTTTTCTCTACTTGATACTCTCCAGATGTGTTGGATTACAACTCCCCAAATGGCCACTCAACATGATCATATGTAGTCAAATACATTTGGGATTCGGGGAATTGTAATTTATCACATTAATGGGCATAAACTTGGAGAAGCCTGCAACAGAGCATCTCTTGGTAAGGGAAAAGACCTTTGGAGCCAAAGGCTTAATTCTCTTAATAGTTTAAATCCTTGTTCATGTTTTTATTTTTTCTTCTTTCACCTTAAACAAGTCAGAGCACCATGCAGAATGGATTCTTTCCCTTTTAACAGCACCACAATCCAGTGATCTAGGCAAGGCTGAGAGAAAGAGAGAATGACCGAGTGAGTAAGGGGGAGATATCATTCAGTGAGGGGACGCTTTAATGATCCATAGCTTATAGAATCAACACAAGCATTCATTCAACTTAGATCATTATCCTGCATTTTTTCTACCCACCCTCATGACTTTGAAAGAGTTTCGTAGAGTGTGAAGGTCTTACATTGTTTTTAGTTATCGGGTGACTAAGAGGTGCATGTGTATATCTTGACTTTCTTTGGACTCATCCTGTCTTCAGGAATACCAGAATAACAAGAGTTGGAAGGAACCTTGAAGGTCTTCTAGTCCAACTCCCTATTCAAGCAGGAAACCCTATACAAGTGATGGCGAACCTTTTCGGCACCGAGTGCCAAAAAGGAAGCACGTGCGTGCATGCGCTGCACCAAGTGCCGAAAAGGGAGTACTGCATGCGGACATGCTTGTCAGGGCTGTGACCAGGAAGAGGAGATGCCCAGGGGGCATTTGTGTGCTGGATAAAGTACTTCCATTTTCCGGTGCACACATGCGCACCGGCCAGCAAGTGTTTCGGTTACGGCTGTGCATGCGCATGCACCGATCGGCTGGCCAGTGCGCATGCTCATGCCAAAAAATGGAAAAGCAGCTCTTCTGGTTTCCAGCACTGCTGCACGCACAAAGGCCAGCTGATCATCACGTGTGCATGCGTACCAGAAACCCGGAAGAGGAACAGGTGATGTCACGCATGTCAGGTGACATGGCTCTGTGTGCCACTTCGGGCACGCATGCTATAGATTCACCATCACGGCCCTATACCTTTTCAGACAAATGGTTGTCCAATTTCTTAAAAATGTCCAGTTTTAAAATCCTCCCAGGAGGTCATCATAAGGGAGTTCTTCCCGTGAGGCTATTTTCAGAAGTGTGAGTAGCCAGTGATGGGTGCATACTGATTTGCAAAGAAATACCACCAATAGCACCCTTCACTATTTCTAAAAAAGAGAATGCGCTCAAAAATATATTCAGCTTTCAAGCTCCCTGATAGTAAAGGAGAAGTGGCAGAATGGTAATCCAATAAAAATGGTATCAGAAAGTTCTTGAAGAACACTTGGAACTGCAAAATGATAGGCAAACCATGAGTAACCCATCTCTGAATTAATCCAGTAGAAAGAAAGAACCTGAAAAATTTGTATCATATCACATATGAGGAATTCTGTTAATGGATATAATGATTCTCATAAGCTTAATTGCTTTGAAAAAGCCAAATGGAACTGACTACAGTTAAGACTTGTGGACTTCAATTCCCAGAATTCCTCAGCCAGCTTTGCTTTGCTGGCTGAGGAATTCTGGGAATTGAAGTCTGCAAATCTTAAAGTTGCCAAGGTTGGAGACCTCTGGACTACAGTATAGGCAGACTTCAGATTTCAAAGACCATTTGCCTATGAATATCAGTTCCTGGAAAACAGTAGTGGAAAAAAATTAATAACTTTTATTTTTCTTTATGGGCTTCCTAGAGATATTCAGTTGGTTGTAGCTGGGAGATATAATGCTGGATTACATGTTTCTACGATTCAGCAGGATGTTTCCTATGTTTCTTATTCATGACCACAGTATGTTTTTTTTAATAGAAATCTATTTACAATTATTTGTAAAACAATTAGTCCACACTAGGACTACACTTGGAAAAAGGAGGTGAAAATTGAATGGATTAATTTATATATTTAGATGTATTTAATTATTGTAAGATGTACTGACATCAGCAAATATTACGAGCCCAATTGGCAAAAGAAAGTTAAGGACTGTATTGGTTGGAAACATGTCAAAGTGCCTTTATCCTGCAGTAGATAGACAATGGCTAAAATGATGATGATGATATGATGATGATGATGAAGATATACTAATGGCTTGTGCATTTGAATGAGCAATCATAGATTAAATATAAGATATAGAAATAATACCATCTCAACCAGATACTTTTCAGTAATAGTAAATACATTCAGCTGTAGGCCATCAAGAACAATTAAATTAAGTTATTATTTTAGGTTTTCATAGAATTGCTATGTGTAAGAAATATACAAGAGTAATTGCTCAATAAAAAGGTTTTAATGTATTATTACAATTTCAAGATTGCAGTGTCTGTCACAGAGAAATTTAATTATTATCTTGGTAAAATACCTCACTATAGAATCTCATGATTGTATGAAACAGAGTTTTGTAAGTTCTATGACTTTGAATGAGGTTTAAAATTGCAGTGAAAATTTAAAAGTATAATGAGACACAAATAATGTTGTTTTATTAGATTTATATACAGTATTTTCCTTCCTCTAAGAAAGAAGGAAATATACATAATTCTGTCCTCTTTGATTGTATCCTCACAACATTCCTGTGTAGTTTGGGTTTTGAACCTTGATTTCTCTAGTCCTACGTCAACATCCAACCAGTATAGTATATTCATTCTTATTAGTCTCTATATGAGATAGTGAAAACATAATAAATTGGGCTACAGTCCTCTAGACTGTAAAAAATACCTTTACATTAGAATGAAATATTTACAATGTCATGGGGCAGAATTTTCCTCTCATCAAGACTGAATAATGAAGATAGATTAAAAATGATTGAAACTATATTTTTTATCACATTCCCAGACAACTACTAACTACAATCTCAGTTTTTGGCATACAAAATCTTTGTTTCCTTCTTTGTTCTACATAGGTATCTTATAATATTTCTCGTTTAGTCACCATAGGTCACCTGGAATGTGAATATTTTTCTATGGAGTCCAAATGAATGCTGCAGGAACCTATCGAGCATTCACTTTAGATGTTTTACACCTAAGCAAAAGTTATGTTCAACTTATTAATTTAATTATTACATTTATATTACCCTTTTTCCATAATAGAAGCATGCCAAAAGATATAAATCTGGTGGTTTTCTATTTAGATATTAACTATTTGATAAAGACACATTGCATTATGGAAGTTCAGAATAAAACCTGAAATAACTTTTTGCAGATACTAAATACCCTCTTCATTAATCACCTTCCCCACATTTAAAAACCCATTATTGTACACCATCTTAATCCAACCAATAATTGAAGTCAATATACACAGGTTTGGGGGAAAGGATATCCATTTTTTATTTTTTTCACTCATAATTATTTACAAATACACATTATAACTTTTATATACATTGCACATTTACATGGTAGAAAAGTACAAAACTATATATTTAAATGAATTTATATTTAACTTGTCATGTTTGAAAATATAAAATTGCCTCAGAAAAAGAAAGTATTATGAAAAGCAAGAAACTTGAACTGATAAAGCTTTGATATAATATTCTGTTAACATTTTGAATGTGAAACAAAAAGAATGTCAAAAAAATGGAACGCAGGACCATCTGCGAGGACAGATCTAATAAAACATTGATGTTCATGACAATGTATTTTCATTTTTCTTCTTTTTCTTAAAAAAAGAAAATAATGCTTTCTTTACATTTAGCCACATAGCAACTAAAAAACCCTTCATAATCCGATCTTTGGGTTTGAATTATCATAGTACAATATAAACGTTCGGGATTTTGAGATCCCATTACTACATGATACAATCAGAGAACATAGCCAGGGAAAGAGGTTTTGTTAAAGCTTTCCCTCTTTCCACCTCAAATATATACTTAACTCAGTTTACAGCGCCTTTTGGTCAGTCAAGATTCCTTGTAAACAAATATCCGAGGGATCATGTATTTATATACAGAATTGGCAAGAAGGAAACACAATAAATAGAAAATGTAACTGAAACTGTCATGCAAAGTTTTGTTAAAATGGAAAAGAGTTAACATTGGCAGAAATAAGGAGCTGAAAATTGTAATTGGGGAGGAGGGTTAGGCTCTAAGGAATGGATTTATAGTTTACAAGAAAAAAAGCTTTACTTTACAAGCAAGAGACCTCACAATAAATAACACAGCTCATCCCATAACGATTACATTTCTTCTTCTTCTTCTTAAAAAAAAAAAGGTGTACAGTCAATCAGACTTCTTTAATGTATAAATTATAAAACATGACACAGTATAAATAAATGTCTACAAGATTCAACTATATGTATACTTCTTTCTTCCCCAAATAAATAAGCATACACTTATGTACAGTATGGACATTGCCTTGCCCAATGGCTGTTTCAAAAGTGATGGAAATTTTTACCACTCTAGAATGGAAGATATAGGAAAGCTGTAGTCCTGGTCATCCTCTTCATCCTCTTCCTCGGGCTCTTCATTGATGGCTAGATAGGAGAATACAGGGGAGCTCTTGTTTAAATACGGATGACAAAGCGCAGAAGCTGTCTGTGCATGTTTTCAAAGCCCCCTGCATAGCCAAAATAGGATGTGGCATGTTTTTTAAAGCGTAGATTGCAGTGAGATGCACTTTGGCACCTGTGGTTATATAATAAAGTTGATTGTGGGTTTTGGTTTGTTTGTTTGTCTTTTTGCATGTATGTGTAAAGTGTGTGTTACATAATCTATGAAGTCATAACTGCAGCAAGTTCTGGAGACTCAATGGCTCAGGTTTATTTGGCAGATTCCTGAAATTAGATAAAAAGTGCTCTTGTGTTCTAGGTTTTTAAACTGCTGTTGAGTCCTTCATTCAGAGGCCATCGTGAGCGGACAGCAGCCCACATGGTTAGGGGTTAAGCTAGTTTGGGAAGGGTTGAGGTGAGGGAGCAATTAGGTTATAGCCAAGTGTTAATAAAGCAGGCAGCAAAGCACACTCAAGCAAACAAAATTAACGGAAGGCAAGAAACAGCTAGGAAGATGCATTTAAGGCAACTTTCTGATGTTAGACACTTCCCTAAAAAGAGAAAGGACCCTCAAACATTTGAATTTTCTTCTCATCAAGCGCAAGATTTCTGCATAATACATAAATCTTTCTACACAAGATCTCACTACTGCATAGTTTTCTTTCCTGTTTAATAAAGGTTTCCATCCTCACCTATTCTAAGGATTTTTGTTTGTTTGCCTTCAGAAGATTAAAGTTCCTGCAAGGTTAAAAATCTCACTTACAGTTGCAAGATCCTGGGTGTTTTACTTCCAATAGCACACCCAGGGAACAGGCTGCTTCCTTCATGGCACACTCACTTGGATAAGTGGTGTTATCACTGGCACAGACAGCTTCGTCTGATTTGCTTTCTGGACATAGCTCATCACAAAGGGCACACCGTCCTCTGCCCACTCTGGAATCCCACAAGCATTTCTTCCCAGTGCTGCACTGGATGTCTTCACAAGATTTGGCTTCTATAAAGGGTTTTCATTAAATGAAAAATGGGAAGAGATAAGGGTTAAAAGAGCAAAAGAAAAACAATGCTCTCAAAAATGTTGGGGGGGGGGTAGTGATGTAGTAGAAATGATGCCCAACCTTCAAGACAAGATGCATAGTACCCAAGTCCAGTTCTATTCCCGGTATAGAGTATAGCACAAAATATAACATTTCTTCCTATTTCCTGTTGGTATAAATAGTATTATCTGGATTTAATTCCAGCCAAGCTTGATGTAGATTCAGCAGAATTAGTGGGACTTGAGTCTGATTAAAATTACTATCCAACAACACTTGGGAGGGTTACCCCCAAACCGTGTAATTCAACATATTTCCCAGCCTTAAGTTGGGGAGAGATCTCTGATGGGAAATAAAATGTTGAGAATCATCTCGTACTGCCCAGTAGCTTCAAAGGCTGATTCTTTTCAATACTAAAAGGAAAAAACCTTGGAAAATCCAGCTTTACATAGGAACAAAAGGAACATTGACTGGGTTTCTTTTCCAGATAGGATGGAGTATTCATTACAGCAAAGTCCTTTTAGCCTAAACCAGAGGTGTCAAATGCGTGGCCCAAGGGTTGGATGCATCACGTGCTGGCCACGCCTACGCCCAGTTTAGCGAAGGGGTAAAAAAAATCACAATACGTCACATGATGACGCTGTGACGATGCGAGTTTGACACCCCTGGCCTAAACATTTGCCCAAGTAGACATGTAATCTATGTTGGCTTGAAATTAATTTATTATTCCTTTCTTTTAATTTCAGTTGAAGGGAATTCTTTTAAAAATGGTTGGAAAGGACAGGAGAGAACTTTAAAAATCTGCTTTTTAATTTCTGCCCTAGTGACAGTAATAATGTAATATATAGTTCTCAAGTTCTTAAGATGGATGGAGGTGGGGGTGCACTTTATTATCAACAAAGATAAACTGATAGCAAACTATTTTATTTGCTGCCCATCTTGTGGTTCAAGGTGGCTCTGAGAATACTGTTTTCCTGACATGTGCACATAAAAAGCCTGCTGCCCAGAGAAATCAGATTTAATGAATCCAATGGCAAAAATGTTCCTAAAAGTTGAAATAGCTTGTCTACTCTTTGCTGATGCTTTCTTTACTTTTGTTTGCATGTCTCTGTCCGTGTGTGTGAGAGAGAGACAGACAGACAGACAGAGACAAACAGACAGACAGACAGGAACAGAGAGAATAAGAGACAAAGACAGAGATCAGGCTACAGCAAGCTTGCAGCTTGATTATTCAAAACTACTTTATGTGAAGAGCTGACCTTTAGCTGCAATAGGACAGCATTCATACATGGTTATACTTTAAAAAATGGCATATACATGGCATGACTTCAGTGTAACTCTTTGACCTAAGAAAGGGCTTAGGATATCAAGAGCCAACCTATTTATTTTCCCATTCTTCAGCATCTTGTCACCTAGGCCAGTGTCATTAAATACAATAAGAGTTATGTTTGAATAGTCATTTAGAATTTAGCCTACATGATTCCTTATTTAATACTGGTTTCCCAAGGTGCTAGTCAGCCTGCAATTGCATAGTGCTCAGGAACTGTTGAAGCTCACTTGATCTTGGATGTCAGTGCTCACAGAATTTAAAAAAAAACACACAGAATTTTAAAGTGAAAGGCAAATGGGGAAGAAATGCTTTGTTTCTTGAGAAAAATGACCTTTTTTTCTTATCAAAGATCAGATGTCTCAATGTACTGGCTATGCAATCTAGATCTGCTTTTGCAAACTGGTGCCTTCCAGTTGTATCTAGGCAACAACTCTTCAAAACTCTGGAGGTCATTGAGATAGGGATTTCTGGAAATGGCCTTTCCAAGGCCTTCCAGGGTTGGATCCAAAGAAGTAGGTACAACATGACATTATATATATATAAAAAAGCCATTTATAACATCTGAAGAAATTTCTCTATGAATAATCTGGTGAATAACTACTGGGCTTATCTTCTTGCACTGAAATCTCATAAACTGAAGCTCACATATCAAGGGTCTCAGTTTAATTTTTTTTTCTGTTTCTGAGAATACCATTTGATACAACAAACACAAACATAAATGCAAGAATACTACAAATGTAATACTCTGTTTGATTTTAAATTCAAAAGAAGATTGAAAAATTACAATAAATGGACAGATTAGGTTTTGAAAAACCAGTTTATAAAATCATCCTATTAAGTTTAGCAGTACTAACCTAGAATATGATTTAAGAGTAGTAGTTGTAAAAGCACAACTTTTTTGGAAAACTGGATATGATTCATCAATGTGCAGCATCTTAAAAAGGTTATTTAAATGGGGAAGTTAGGCGTATATTTAAATCTATTCCCTTGAAACCAAAGGAACATAGAAGCATGTTAGAACATAGATAGCAACACTTATAACCAGGGGTAAAATCCACAGGTTCTGACAGGTTCTGGAGAACCGGTGGCAGAAATTTTGAGCAGTTCGGAGAGCCAGTAGGAGAAATTTTGAGTAGTTCAGAGAACTGGCAAATTCCACCTCTGGCTGGCAACAGAGTGGGATGGGAATGGAAAGTTTGCAATATCCTTCCTCCAGGAGTGGGGTGGAAATGGAGATTTTGCTGTATCCTTCCCCTGCCACGCTCACCAAGCCACGCCCACAGAACCGGTAGTAAAAAAAATTGGATTTCACCACTGCTTATAACCTGTGCCTTTCATGCAGACTATAGCATCCCTGGGAGTCTTATTTGCTCTGTTTGCTTAGTTTCTTCCCAAATCAGTTAGGATAACAGTAACAGAGTTGGAATGGACCTTGGAGGTCATCTAGTCCAACCCCCTGTTCACGCAGGAGACCTGTACTAGGGATTTGAACCGCCGAACTGCCGACTTTTCTGATCGACAAGCTCAGTGTCTTAGCCACTGAGCCACCTATAGTGAGGAGAACAATAATCTTCAGTGGGGCACAGGAATAGGCTGTGTGTGTATTTTTGTGTTATTGTGCACATGTGCAAATGCTTGCTCACATCACAATTAGATATGGACTCAGAAATATTTAGTCTGAATCCTCAGGGTTTCACGTGGTCCCTAAAAACTTTGTGTATCGCCTTTAGTTCAGTTATGACTGAACTTTAATATTTAATGTGACAGGTGATTTCTCACCTGGGGAATACTTATTAATATTAATGTTAGGATATTAAGTTACGCAGCATTTACCTCTGATGGTACTGCTTACATTGTAGAATGGCTTTCCTAGTTAGGCAGAACATTCAAAGGACAAGTAAACTATTCTACAGACCTGTTTTAGAGGAATCAAGTCTTAATCCAAATGTAATTGCAATGTTCCTGATCTTTTACTGGAAAAATGATTTATTTATTTACTTTCTACTTTATCAATTTATAAGCCACTTCAAGATGCTGATACAGATTATGTTTGATCATGATTTTAGTACTTGCAGATGTCCATTATACATATTTAGTATTTGTAAGGGAGAAAAGCGGTTTTGGATCAATCCAGTATGTGTTTCCTAAGCTTCCGTGCCTAGCAAAATGTTTCCATTGGAATCCAGTTGAACAGAATCCTAAGCTATGTGGTCAGAAAATGTTTTCAAAGTCTTGGTATTCACAAGTATCACACATTCCAGTGGAATCAAGGCCAAAGACTAGTCTTCAATAATTGACAACTGGATTTGGTGGAAAGTTTTTTGACCAAATTCTATCCTTCTGGATCCAAGAAGTGCATTCCTATGAGTTTTTAAAATATAAATTTGTATATAATAGCATTTTTCCATAGCAAGGAAGTAGTTGTGATGTGGCAGATGTGGAGTGGAATGTTTTATGCAAGAGCTGGGCCAGGTTTCCCCCCCACCCCCATTTTAATTATTTGAAGTCAGAACTAGCAACTTTTTGAAAACATCTACTTTTTCTTATCATGTTTGCCTCCTGATATTTATTAGGAAGGATTTTAACTTATCTACTTTTTTCCTTATTCTTAAATTAGTTAGCCAGTCAGAGATGGTGTAATAGTTTTATCTGGCTTGTAGGCTTTGACTGTATAAATGCCATCATCAGACAAGTTAGATAAATTCAGGATAAATGACAGCAATAAAATAAATCTCTATACAAATGACAGCAATAAAATAAATCTCTATACAAAGAACTTCAAACATTTTAGGTATTGGCAAATACATAATAAATTAAAATGGACACTATTAAACATGGAAGAATATATGCAGATTTATAAATATGAAATGAATAATATGATTTGAGTATAACTGGTTATAATGGAATATTTCCATCTACCAGTGTCAATAAATTATGCAAAAAAATCCCTCAGCCAATTAACTAGCACTGAACTAGGATTATTAAGCAATCTGGATACTTCATTCATTTCCAGAAAATAGCTGAAATATTTCAAAACCCAATCCTGATACATTATTGAGATCATGACAGGAAGTGATTCATTTCCAATCTTTTGGATTGGTTTGTTTATTTATTTATTTATTTATTTATTTATTTATTTATTTATTTATTTATTTCCCTAATCAACTTCTTCTGATCCATTTGGGTTTATTGCTGCTCCATCAGCAGCCATGAGAGAACAAAAGAAGGGAGAGAGAGTGTTTGCCATTCCTGGTTTGTCATTCCTGGCATATTGCTCTGGCTGCATTTCAGTGGATTGGAAGTTATATTGCTCAATCAAACAACAGAAATGAAAGAGGTAACGGAAACCAGTGAAGGTGACTGATGAGAGTTAAAGAGTGGCTGAGAATATGTGGATCAACATCTATTAAAATATGTAGAGAGTAAGGAAGGGGAAATAAAACATCAGACTTGCAAGATTCTGCTATTATAGCCCATCTCAATCAAATATAGCTCTAGTCTACCTTTCGAGTCAGTTTCCTGGTCTGGGTTATCTAGTGGGGCTGACATCAATCTTGCAAGCCTTATTGTACTTTAGCTCTTCTTCTTACACTCCATTGAATTTGAGAGGCATTTCCCTCAGTAGCTTCAGGGTATTATCTTAATCTCTAGGATTTAAAAAGTTCAGCTGTCTTTGCCTAGCAATAGCAATAGCACTTAGACTTATATACTGCTTCACAGTGCTTTACAGCCCTCTCTAAGCAGTTTACAGAGTCAGACCCCAACAATTTGGGTCCCCATTTTACCCACCTCGGAAGGATGGAAGGCTGAGTCCACCTTGAGCCTGGTGAGATTTGAACTGCCAAATTGCAGTCAGCTGGCAGTCAGCAGAAGTAGCCTGTAATACTGCACTCTAATCACTGCGCTACCGAGGCCTAGGTAACACTTTTTGTGTATTTCTGTCAAAGCCATCCCATTTGCTTTCTAGAGGCCTCTAATATTAGCTTATTATTTTTAATTATTTATTTATATTTATTGGCTGTCCAACTTCAGTGGATTCTGAGAGATGTACAAAGCTAGGAAAAACATATTAGAGGGAAACATTATGAATTTTCAAATTCCATATTGCTTAAAGTTGGAGGTATGGATTTTGCTATCAATTCAGGACTAGGGATCGTGTGGCCTTCCAAAAGTTACTAAATAATGTTTCCCAGCAATCCTAGTCAGCACAATTAATGCTAAAGTATTCTGAGAATTGTAGCTATATTATCCTAAATATTGCTTAAAGCACCACCTGCCATCTTCTCTTTTGGTTTGAGAAGGTTGCATTCTACTTGAGACTGTTAATTAAACAGACATGCTATTGGGTCAATCTATGTTTGATAAATAAACATAATAATATTTATAATTTACTGTCTATAATCTGAGATGGGGGCATAAAGCGATTACAATTTTTGGTAATTTATATAGCCAGGGAGTTCTCTTGGCAACAATATGTAAGTGATTTTCCACACATAGAAGTGGGTTGAAATCAGATCTCTGTTAACTGACTAACCAAACTATCCTTCTCTGTTTTAATTTGTCATTTTTAAACCAGAAGTAATATTTCAGAGGAGAGCATGTGGGCCAACATCAAACCAAACAAAGGAACCCCTACCTAAGCAGTATGATTTTTCCTGCTTCCCTGAGCTGGTGCAAATAAGAGATTGAGCTAGAATCAGAAAGCTTCTGATTTCAAACTTGCTTCTGACTTTCACTCACTTTAAGGGGCTTTTAGTAAACCACCCTCTCCAATTTGGTAAGATAATAACACCAATGGAATTTATGGCAGAGGGTAGACCTTCAGATGTGGCGGAATCATCACTTTCCAGAAAACTGGAAATTGAGCACATCAGCATCTGGAGGGCCATCTCATGCCTAGTCCTCATGCATAATTCTTGAATAAACTACCCTTATTACCACTGCCACATTTTCAACACCAAGAAGTGATATGTAAATATATCATTTTAATCATCTCTCTTATTCTTTTAGCAGCATTAATGAATAAGATTACTTTAGGAGTAGGAAATTTCTCTTAAGAGTTTTAGTTCTTCTTGTTACTAGCACAGAGTAGAACTAAAACTGTCACTATCTGGTAACATGGCTTCTTCCAGCTTCATTCTCCATTGAGACCGACCTTTATCATTAAGTAAAATGACTTAGTTACTTTAAGTGGATTTTTTAAAAAATTGGGAACAATGACAAAATATTGAGGTTAAAATGTGTAATGTGGTCTACTTTCCCCATTACTTTTTAACTATCCTTAAGCAGTGTGTTAATCAGCTCTAAAAGTTGTAAGAGGAGAAAGTTGTACTCACAGATACCTATACAGGTAGCACAGAGAGCAAACAAGCATTTTAATGCCACAATACAAGCTCTGCCTGTTTTGTACATATATTGTGACATCTCATGGATGCATGTAAGAGGTGGATCTTATGTCACAATATTGCAACTTCACCATTCTGATAAAATTGTCAGATAATGTAGATCATTTGGTTATAATACAATGGAGCTTCCTGTATAACCTTAAATTACCTTCTGGTGCAATGGGGAAGCTACCCCATTGCCATTCCTGAGATGCAATTCAAATCCCAGGTTGCTCAGGTGTTGTATAGGTAGTCCTCCCTTAACAGGCATTTATTTATTCAGCCACTGTTCAAAGTTATGAAAGTGCTGAAAAAATGGTAGTTACAACTGATGCTCCAGGTTTTGGCTGCTCAATTACCCTACATTCAGGCAATCAAAATTTGGGCACTTGACAGCCCACCTTCATTAACAATTGCAACTCCCCACACTGGCTTATCTTCTCCCCACCTCTGTCTTTTGGCCACCCAAAGGCATTGTGAGATCTACTTGATGCTTCGCAAACCCTCCCCAGAGCCTGGAGAACTCTTTGTGGCATTGCAGAGGTCTTCAACAGGTCAGCAGCTGCCTTGGCTGGGTGTGCTTCATTAGAAGAAGATGGTGAAGCTGGGAGAGCTAGGAGAAAGCAAGGATAGATGGTGGTGGCAGAGTGCAGAGTGGCCAAAGAGCAATGATAAGGACAGAGATAGGCAGATGGGGAGAATTGAAGTGGAACCCAACATGGCAGAGCATGGGGAATGTGTAGTCCTTGCCTAACAACTGGAACTATTAGAACTATTATCACTAAGTGGTAGAGTTATGTGATGCTTTGCCTAATGACTGATTTGCTTAGTGATGGGAATTCTGGTCCTAAAGGTAAAGGTAAAGGTTCCCCTCGCACGTATGTGTTAGTCGTTCCCGACTCTAGGGGACAGTGCTCATCTATGTTTCAAAGCCGAAGTGCCAGCGCTGTCCGAAGTCGTCTCCGTGGTCATGTGACCGACATGACTCAATGCCAAAGATGTACGGAACGCTGTTACCTTCCCACCAAAGGTGGTCCCTATTTTTCTACTTGCATTTTTACATGCTTTCAAATTGCTAGGTTGGCAGAAGCTGGGACAAGTAATAGGAGCTCACCCCGTTACGCGGTACTAGGGATTTGAACCGCTGAATTGCCAACCTTTCGATCGACAAGCTCAGTGTCTTAGCCACTGAGCCAGGCATCCCTATTCTGGTCCTAGTTAAGGTAATTAAACAAGGACTACCTATACATGTAGTGAAAGGAAGCCCACTTACTCCTTGGCCATCCCTACCTTCAAATGCCCCCACATGACATATAAGATCAAGAGCCATTTCTCTCATAACGTTCCATCTCCCCTTTTGTGAGACCTTCCAGATGTGGAGCAATCCAAGCAACGATTCTCAGAAGCAAGGTAAGTGCCAGTGGTTTCTGGGGCAAAGAAGTCAGTTATATAAATAACCAATAACAATTCCGCTTCAGGGAAGAAGAGACGTGGATTTGAACTGCTAAAGTAGGATTTAAAAGGTAATTTGCCCCTTAATTCTGATAGAGGACAATCAATTGCTGCTTTATTCTGGTAATGCAAAAAAAAAAAAAAAGATTTGTATCTAGCCATGCCACCTCATGTGTCTGAGAGATTCTAGTGGCTGTGCTAAGTCAAGGATCCCAGAATTTCTGCTGAGGTGGAATCTAAAAACAATAACCATTGAGAACAACTGCCAGGAAAAAAACTGAACTAGGTTTGTGCTATGAAATAAGGATTCCGGATCAGTTGGAAAAGCTTTCCCCTTTGTGTATTTCCTCTCATTTTAAAAATAGACCTGTAATCTCTTGTTCCATGGTACTTACTGACACATTTTCCTTCATAGGCTAGGCCAATGGATCTTCCAAGCAGGCAAGTAGCTTTTCTTAGATGGCAGGCACTTGCATATGTTATTCCATCATTCCCGCAGAGATACTGTTCGGGTAGAGTTGGCTCGGGGCAAATCCGATTGCATGTCACACAGTTGGCATTATTATTTTGATCAACCACGCATGTGGAACTGCCTGGGCATAATACATCTCTACATGTCTCTGAAATAAACAGTAGGGAAAATATTATGTGAACAATAAGAGCATCTGAGCCATCAGAATAGACACAAATAGCAAAAACTGAAAAGCTTTGATTAAACTAAGGCAGTGGACCAGCAATCTTTAGTTTATACTCTAGCTGCTGCATGGATGACCTAGTAATTGTAAGGTCCTGGACTTGGGATCAGTGATCTACCACCTAGTAACTCTTATCATCCTAGAAAAAGCATTAGGACTTCGCATCTGTCAAAATGCATAACCTTGAAGAAGCCCACTGTCAATGTCATAATGGCTTTGCCATGGTCCAGTTTGGTGTTTCCGCTTCCTTGTCACCTACTCTCTAGCCAACAAGAATGAGAAGTTGTAGCTTCAGCTGCTCCAAACTGTTCCACGGCATCTGGAAACAATCGGGAAGACCTCCAAGGAAGGGGTTCTCATGCTAATAAGGGGGTATTGCTGCCTCCTCCGAATCTAAAACTGGCATGTGAGCAAACTTTCAAGGCTACAAATAGATGGGAAGGATTCGTAGACCACAGGTTTGTATCACTGAGTCCACAGTTTAATTTCCAACTTTAAGGAAAATAGGTTGTGTACTTTTTGACAACTGGTATAAGAACTGCAGATCTATATTCTTGGCATGTGGTTTTTCCCCCTCCTGTGTAGTTTAATGATGGAATCCATTGCCAGAAGATGCAGTGCAACCATCAACAAGTATGACTTCGAGAAGGTATTAGACACAGAGCAGACAAGGTTATCAGAAAATACTGTCTGTGATGGCTGTGAATTATATCCAGTGGTGGGATTCAGCCAGTTCGCACCACTTCGGGAGAACCGGTTGTTAACTTTCTGAGCAGTTTGGCAAACTGGTTGTTGGAAGAAATCATTAGGGCAGAGAACCGGTTGTTAAATTACTTGAATCCCACCACTGATTATATCCAATATTGTAGGCAGTTACTTGGAAATGTGGTCAGGATGCTATTATTGCTTTTGTGTGTTTGCTACTGTGCCTCCATAAGACATTTGTGGAAACTGAACGCTGGCTTAGACAGCCCCTGGGTCTGACACAATTTACTTGCAAGTGAAAAGGCAGCTAATTCATCAAGGAGCAACTATCTAACTTTTTCCCTCATTTTTTTTTTTTTAAACTTGCAGAATGTTTATGATACAACTTAGTCATCTCTGGATTTTCTACTTTGTTCTGCTGCAGAAATATAAATACGCTCTATAGGAATGACGTTTGGTTACTTAGTAAAGCCTTTTCCAATCTGGGTATTCTCTAGATGTGCAGATTTCAACTTCCCAGAATACCTCAGCCAGTGTGAAATTACTGAGGATTCTGGGAATTGAAAAGCACACATTTGGGGGCACCAAGTTTGACAAGACTATGGTAAAATTGCCCATCCCATTGTCTGTGTTTAGAACAGCCCTTTGTGTTATTATTTTGTGAACATGAACACAATTCACAACCTGTTTTCTCACTGGGTCCTATCATCTTTCTGCAGAAGAAGTGGTTTATATGGGCTTTTCTATACATGCTTTCTATCCCTGACTCTAGGATTGAGAAAACAGGGTTACCGTAAACATACTTTTGCATTTGCCCTGATACTGGATTTCAAGGTCTGGTTGTTCTTTACATTTGGCTTTCAGAAGGGCACACTCATTCTTGTAGGTTTTCCCATCCAAGCCACACACAGGTCCCTTCCATGTGATATTTGAGCAATCTGGAGCACAGACACACCGAGGTTTGTTCTTCTTGTTCATTTTACATTTCTTCCCAGGTCCACAGTCCACATTCTCACAGGTTTCTAAAAGAGGGAGTGGAAGGGGAATGGAGAGAAAAGAATTGGGCAGGTGACATAAAATCCAAAATCATTGCCTAATAACATCTAAATCTCCCATCACAATTTCATAGGCAACACGTGAGAATATTGTTGACTCACAATTTTTTCCAACAACACTACATAAAAAAAAAATCAAACACAGAGGCCTTCCATTTTCTGAGCAGATTGCTTGCAAGAGATTATGAAAAGTGCACTAATGATGCCTACAGTGATGGTGAGGTCAGAAAATAACGACAGTGCCCTCCCTAGAAAATTAGTCTGTTAACTTGCAATGAAATGACATGCAATTTTACATAAAAAAACAATAGTAACAGTTAAACTTTAAAACCTCTCTAAATACAGTTTGGCTCAGGTCATACTTTGCAGTAGCATAATGTGGTTTGTTCAACTTTGATTTAGGGTGTTGTAGGAATCCAGCTGTTACAAAGTGCAAGCTATGGTTTAGAGCAGTGTTTGTTACCCTTGACAACTTTGAGGCAGCATGGGGAAATATGGAGTTAAAGTCTACAGATCTTAAAGTCAAGGCTACGAAACACTGGTTTAGAGGTTATCATATTCTGGGAACTCATCTTTGGTTTGTTCAATAAACTATGGCTCTGACTCTGAACAGATAGAATAGATTAATCTCTCATTGCACTGATAAGTACTGTATATGTCAAGGTGACTAATTTCCATCAAGGAAACACACTGAGTGCCAGTTGGGAGACAGGATACCAAAGCTGCCTTATTTTTGTTTCAGCCGCCTCCCCTATCCACCCCCATCATTCAGTGCAATAACATCTCTGTTCATATGGTGCCCTTGACATGAGCTGAGATTGTTCTCTAACATCCTTCATGCTGAAGGTTACTGGAGCAGAGATTTCTCAAGGTTGCAGGGTGAAAAGCTTTGGTTGCAATGCATAGTTTTTACTTTTAGCTCATGACATGTGTGCCACACTAAGTTAAGTGACTTCGGAGCTGCATTTCCATTGTATCCTCTCTTAGCTTTCTTTAGTACTATCCTGCTGGCACCATGGACACACATCAATCATAATATTCTCATATATACACCATTCTGTATTTCAGCTAGGTCTGAAATTTGTTTTAAATGCTAGTGCATTTAAACGCAGGTAAAGGATTCTTCTTTAAGTCATCCTCTGGAGCAGAGCTCTCCAACCTTGGCAACTTTAAGGCTTGTGGACTTCAACTCCCAGCTTTGCTGGCTGAGGAACTCTGGGAATTGAAGTCCACAAGCCTTAAAAAAATTGCCAAGGTTGGAGACCCCTGCCTGGAGAGTAGGGATCCTCTCCTTACAACAAGCTCTCTGATGCAGCTGGAAGCCTATCCTGTTAGAAAGCTTGTTTTACAAAACTTAAAAAAGCACAGAGACTGTGATTAAGAAAGTCACAAATAAACCTGCCTGAGAAATAGGATACCTGGGGAACAACTTGAGTGAAGACAAAATACCTTTCTGGGTGAGCATACCAAGGACCAGAATGGGGGAGCAGGTCAAGTCATGCGGCTTTCAATCAGTTGAGCCACGGAGGGAAAATGTGCACTTTGAAATAGCCTTCGTTATGATAAGGAGGAGAAAACATTCCACTCAAATTACCTTCTAATTTGAGCTCAGTATTTGAATACATTCTTTGTAGGCAGAATTGTGAGCTTAGGTCAGAGGAAGGTCTGGTACTTCCAGTTTGATTCCTGGTATCCAAATGGATGTCAGGTCAGTTGGGCAGGTAGAACACAATCCAAACATTTTGGATAGGTTTCTTGACAACAATACATTGCCTCCTTGGATAGGCTCTCCTTCTGTTTTACTTCCCAGTCTTGTCTACAGCTCTGGCATTCTCTGGTAGCCCCTCATCCAAGTAGGAATCCCTTCTGATCCTGTTTCTGATCAGCCTAGGGGTGTTTTTTTTTTTGGATCAACTAATCAACTAGTGTTACTAGCTAGGCTCTTAGAAATTCTAAAATCCAGTACCATTCATTGTAGAGAGATAAGATAATTCAGAAGCCTAATAATTAAAATTGATATACACAGAGTCCTACGTTCTAAGAGATGCTTAGAGTCCTACGTTCTAAGAAATGCTTTTATCTGACTACACTTTTGGATTTTTCTACAGAAGAGAGGAAATGCTCAAGCGCAATTTCCATCCATTCCACTTGATTTTGTATGCTTTATGTGCAATCCTTGGCACTGAAAATAATCTTGCTTATCCTTTCCTTATGGGAGGAGACGACAATTCAGCAGTGTAGTTTGACATCTTCAGGGACAGGGACCACACTCCTCATTGTAGAGCTAGTAGTATCTAATGTATCTAATGTTACTCATGTAAAGGTGTTACTAGATTGAATGAAGCAAGATGCTTCAATCAGTCTGAAGCATCTTCCTCTCTTCATCTATTAACTTACAAGCCCTTCCAAGAGCCAGACCATTCTTAGCAGCACCCACCTTTGCAGGGGATGCAGTTGGGGGCCCCTCCGCTAAAAATCATCCACTTGAAAAGCACGTGGTCGCTGACATCCTCCTCCGTCCAGGCAGTGGTGAGCCTCCCTGTTTTGCAGCACTCTTCCTTGCTGAGACCGTTTTTGTAGAGGACCTGGCAGCGACCGTTCCTGGCTTGCCGGAGCCAGCAATTCCCAGCTAGTGCAGGAAGAGAAAGAGGGAGAGGGAGACGCAGCCAGCTCAGTGTCAGTTACCAGTGACCCAGACATAACACGTGCGGGTTTAATTGACTTTTACTAGACTGTTTACTTTTATTTGTCCCGTTTCATAACCTGAAGCTACTCCTCTGAATCAAACGGAAGCGCTGTTTCAACAACTTGATCAAACCCGTTCGACGCCTCGTTATTCCACCCGGGGAAGGTAGACAACTGCCAGCAATTTCAGAGGGGGAGGGGGGGAGGGGTTAATTGCGCACGGCAGGGTCTTGAAATAGACCTGCAGCATCAAAAGTGCGTGTATCTGTGCGTGCGCGCGCGAGAAAAGAGAGTTATTGTGATTGACGAACCTTTGTCTTCCTACCTATTAGCTGATCTCATCAACCCAGCTCCCCTGTTTATAAACAACCTAAACCGATAAACAACTTTTAACACTAAAAAGAAGTTTGCACAATAAACTTTACGGGGGAAAACTCACTACAACTGCTCCCCCACCCCCATCAATCCCGAGATGTAGGAGCGCCTGATCCTAGCAAGTATAAGGGACGGGTGGTTCGAAATATTTGAATTTCGCCTATTTCAGAAGAAAGAAGAGAAGAGAAGAGAAGAGAAGAGAAGAGAAGAGAAGAGAAGAGGAAGAGAAGAGAAGAGAAGAGAAGAGAAGAGAAGAGAAGAGAAGAGAAGAGAAAAAGTAGAGTGGGAATGAGCGTTCAAACTGCACGCACACTCCAGCAACGATTTGCAGCTCTACCAATGGGGCAACATAGAAGGACTGGAATAGATAAGTTGGCATGGACTTTATGGAGAAAACAGCAACACGCACTTACACGCACACACTGACACCAACAACCTTGAGTGTGTACGTTACTGTGGGAACCGTGCCAAAAACACTGATCTGACCTGTCGTCCTATTCCCTGAGATAATCTAGATAATTTTGTTGGAACCAGTTCTTCGTGAACCATCAGTCTGACCTCCAACTAATGCAGATCAAATCGAATTTGTTTCTTTACCCCACAGGATGCCAGGCAGAACCGACACTGCTCTCACGCCCCAAATCCACCCATTTTAAGGTAGTAATATCAGCAATTCCAAGGGATCGATCAGTTAGGGAGTTTTTTTCATTACTACTTGCTTAAAGTTACAATGATGTAACATGAAAGATAAATGTATGGATGGGACAGAACAATAAATTGTGGACGTAATGTCATTAACCTCTCTCTCAGACAACGCAAACCAATTTGGGCGGAGGAGACTATTTTCAGTTTCCAAAATGTGGGTTTCGTTTACTGTACTTTAAACGAAGCCCAAAGTTGCAAATCCTAACTCTAACCCTTCACTCGCTTATCTGGAATGGAAGTAAATTCCACTGAACTGAAGGGGGATTTATTCTGGAAAGGCTCGTCTAGATTGGCGTTGCAAGTCATGCTTGCAGTTGTGAAACCCAGCCCTCCGAAGTTCATTCCCAGAGTGACATGAAACGCGGAGGCACAAAGAAAATCCTTCAAACTTAAAATCTCTTTTCTTCTCCCCTTTCTTTCCCCCGGAACCCGCGCCCGGATTTGTGACAACTAATGCGAATGTTATTTTGCACCCGTAGAAGGAAACGGGCTCAGTGGTTTTTAGAAATGTGTAAATTGGCGGATAAATCACAGGCAGGATGGAACCTCCGTGGTGGCCAAACTCGGAAAAGTTCTTAGCTGATGCTGGAAGTTTAAGCCAGGCAACAACGACGCCAGCTTTTTAGAAAGCCCTTTAGAGCTAATGATGGAGAAGAAGGTGATTAAGATGATAAGGCTGACGGGAAGAGGGATTCTCTGTCCAGCGAATCGTAGATTTTCCTTTTCCCCACTCTCCGCATTCCCAGAAAGCCCGCAAAGCAAAGCGATCCTAACTAAGCCAAGTTGGGAACCCCCCGAGACTTCAGTGGGAAGGTCTGTCCGAGTTTAGGACTGGAGCTTTAAACGCCTGGGGCGGATTGAAGAAGGTAAAGGCGTCGGGTGAGCTAGAAAGGGAGGGCTAGAGGGACATACAGAGATTATTAGACAGAGGCACACCAGCAAGGAAATGTGTGAATGGTATCTTACCTTGTGCTGTTTGATCTTCTATGAAGTGACAGAAAAACATCAGGAATAAAACCATGCCCGGAAAGATTCTCTGGTTTAACATCCTTAAATTACTTTTCCCTCCAGTGAAAGAGAAGAAACGCAGCCTCGAGTGGCAAGAGTCAGGCGAGGGAAAGAAAGAGCGAGCACGCCCGTCGCACAGCCTGCTTATGACCGCTCGATCTATTGAATGAATGTCAGCCTCTGAATGCTGTCTCGCTTTAAATCGAATGGGGTCTTAGTTCTGCGGTGGGCGGTCTCATAAATGTGTGTGTGTGTGCAAGGGGGGGGGAGTATGAGAGAAAGAGGGAGGGAGGGAGGAGGGTGTGTGCATGCGCGCGCGCGTGTTCGGGTGGTGGGGGGAGATTTAAAAAACTTCGGCGTGAATCCCTTTCCGATTATTTTGTCTCCAAAGGTGTGCGCGCACGCGCGTGGGTCCATCCACTGCTTCCACTCATCTCTCTCTCTCTTTCTCTTTCTCCCCCCCCGCTCACCCTTTCCCGTGGCTTTGATCAAATCGACAGGAGAATCGCTGGGGCTTTGGGGCACCCAGCGGATCGGGAAGGAAGAAGTGGGTTTGCGCTCGCTGCCAAGTGGTTGCGGGTTTTTTTTAGGGGAACTGAGTGTGGGAACCCAAAGCCCAGGCTCCCCGCTTAAAGAGGAAGGAAAGGAAAGGAAAGGAAAGGAAAGGAAAGGAAAGGAAGAAAGAAAGAAACGCTTTCCCCGCCGCGGGCGAGGCGGCTGGGCGCGCAAAGACGCAGGCGAGACCTTTCCCTGCAAGGATTCCCGGGGCTATTCTTGATTGGCAACCGCCAGCCTTCAGGAGGACAGAGGCGCAACCCAGACTATCCCGTCGTGTTTCTCCCTCGCTCTCTCTCCAATCCCGTTGTCAGGGGTGGGTCGAAGGTGCCGCGCGGTACCATTGCTGAGAGGGTTCCGCGACGGCATCTATAGTCTGTAGGGAGTGGGACGTCCAGCGACCCGCGCTTCTAATCCGGCACGGAGCCGTCCCCTGTGCCCCCTTTGCCCCCGGGCGGCCTTGCGAACGGGCTCCCCTCCCCTTAGCCAGCCTTCGCACTCCCCCCCCCGCTCCCCGCCCAAATGTTGTGGCTACTCCTCGTAAATCTCCAACCCTCACACCTCCAAACAGTAGTTAAGTGTCTGGCGCGCCCGCATCTCCCTCTCTGGGACTCGTCAAAAACAAATCAGAGTTTAATGCCCGGTTTAATGTCCCCGCGTGTTAGCCTCTTGACTCGAGGGCGTCTGGAGCGGGAGCGGGGAGGCGACGTAGGCGGTCCTTTTCGGCTCAGAATGAAATAATAAGGATTCTCGGCCATTAGGAAGGACGCGCCTGGAGCGGGCCTAATGAACTTTTGCGGCGTTTCTCTATTAAGCGCCGTCTGGCAACTCTTCCCTTCTTTCAAGAGAGTTGGCGGGCCCGTTTCTCATAACAAATTTTTTGGCACTGCTGAATGAAACCGAATAGGCGATATTTCCTTTTTATACCAAATGATTATTTAACCGGGGGTGGGGGTGGGGGTGGGGGTGTAAATTGGGGCGTGTGGATTCAAAAAGCCGCCTCTTTAAATAAAAACAATAACATAGAAAGGGAGCGGGGGAGAGGAAGAAGAAGAAGGCGAGGAAGAAGAAGGAGACTACTGCTCCAGAGCCCCTATGCTCCCAGCCGTCACCAACAGGCAGCAGACTGCAAATTATGCAGATAGAAATTCTTGCCTATTGCCAGGTCACGGTGCTTTCTTTCTCCTGAAGTCCGGGTGACCACCCCCCTCCTTCCCCTTCCCATTCAACCCGGTCTGCCCCCGCCTTCCTTACTCCGGTCTCCCCAGTGTCTCTCTCTCCTCGCCCCCCCTCAAACACCCCGCCTTGCAACTGCAAATAACTCAGTGATAACAGATTTTTTTCCACCAACTGCAGGAGATAGTGCTAATCTTTTAATAAAAGATCCCATTACAATAGGATCTGTCTGGACAGACTATAATAGATCTAGAAATACAGCCGTGCTAATATTAGAAGACAGTTGTTTGGGTGCCTCAGACTGCGCTGTAGTCCTAGCTTTGAAAATGGGCAAGAATCACAATACAACGCCCAGCATCCACAGTCAAAACCATTCACAACCAGACTGGTAAATGAATGATCTGTTCTTGCATTTTTGGGGGGGTGAGGTGGGGGTATATTTTGTGTTTGGGGGAGACAGACATTGTGACCTTTCCTATCAAGCTCTCGGGCATTTTGGTTACTTCAGAAGCTTCTTAGCAGTTTACATCCTTTTTTTCATCTGTCTCGCCCCCCCATCCCCCGCCCCATTTAGTACCACTACTCTCCTCTCTTCCATGGAATATTAGCCTTAATGTGGGGTTCTTGGGCGCCCTCTTATGGTAGATGGCATTATCAATTAATAAAGGGAAAATAAAACCCACCGTCCTTGTGCAGAAGTTATCACATTCCTGCCCCCAAAAGAATAAAAAACGGTGGGGTTTGAGATTTTGATCTCCTAACATGGTTTGAAGTCCAACTCCTGACTTTCCTCAACAGGATGCGAAGAAGAAAAATGTACTCTGCAAGCCCTGGCTGATGACTTGTAAATGTATTTCACTCTGCACCAATAATGTCTTAATTTTCTGATTTGGCTTTATGAACCCTATTCCTAAGTTGCTAGGGCTCAATGGTGAATGTTATGTATGGACTTTCTCTTCTGTCTCCAGGTTTTCTCGATAAAGGAACAAGAAGCAGTTTATGTATCTCCCTAGACGTTTGCTATCAGGAGAGCAGCATGAGATGGAAAGTCTGCAAGTTATTCCATCTCTCCATCACAGACAATAGAAACATGGCTTAAATACCACCTCTATCTCTTTCCTGTTCCATCACCACCTCCAAATTTTCAATTATCTTGCCTAATGAAGAATTCTTGAAAGATTGCATGCTAATAAAAATACTGTTTTATAAAATGTATCATCTTCAATATGGCTAAAGTCTGTAGAGATTCTCAGTCATCCAGGTCATGGTTGTCCCAAAGATGCTTTTTCAGGAGGCAACTGGACTTTCTTGTTTTTTTCTTTTGAAGACGTTTTGCTTCTCATCCAAGAAGCTTCTTCAGTTCTGACAGGATAGTGAGGAATGGAAGGATTTATATTCCTTGCAGACAGCTGGTCATTTGCATCCTTTTAGAGGGTCATTGAAGTGCTTCTGTAGTCTGCAATAGGAATGGATTTCCAGAGGAAAAATTGCAGTCTACCGCAACCCAGAGCACTACTCAGGTGACCTTGAGGACACAGATAAACCTCCAAGTGCTTCAACGACCCTCTAAAAGGATGCAAATGACCAGCTGTCTGCAAGTAATATAAATCCTTCCATTCCCCACTATCCTGTGAGAGCTGAAGAAACTTCTTGAATGAGAAGCAAAACATATTCGAAAGAAAAAACAAGAATGGTCAGTTGCCTCCTGAAAAAGCACCTTTGGAACTTCAATTTTTTTGCTTTACAGACATCTTCATCCTTTATCTACTTATTTGGAAGGAATCCCCTTGAATTCAGTAAGATTGATGTTCAGTAAAGAATACAATTATAGATAGATGATTGATTGATAGACAGACAAGACAGAGAAACAGACACACAGACTGTTGGTTTGAGCTCCGAGCTTGGCAGTTTGGTTGCAAACATTTTGTCACCATTCCAGTGTGATTTAAATGATAGATAGATGGATAGATGGATAGATGGATAGATAGATAGATAGATAGATAGATGATAGATAGATAGATAGATGATAGATAGATAGATGATAGATAGATAGATAGATAGATAGATAGATAGATAGATAGATAGAATGATCTAACACATTGCCTAAAACAAAAATGCCTCTACTTCCTTTTACATATGGTATAGGTGGATTGGTAGCTGAGTTTGACTTAAATACTTGCATCTGAGAGTAATCAACTAATTTAGAAGGGCTGTGTGAACATTTGATATGGAAATTCAGTTTGAAGGCAATTCAATTGAACTCTTCAAATTTCTGAATGAAGCAGGAAATTTATTCCAATTTTTATAGTGAACAGGATGGCTCTGGGTTGATATGGACAATTTTTGGAAACTTCTGGACATTTGCAGAAACATTTTTATGAGTTGATTGGGAAATCAGATTGATCCAATTAGGCAACTTGATTCAGTTGATTTATTGAATCAATAATTCAAATAACATTTTGCGTTTTTAAACAGGTGTTTAGGAGGTGAAGAAACAGCTTTATGTTTTCAATTCAAGAAGGGAAATCATTTAACAGACTCAGAAGGAATGCTTCCTAAGACAGTTGCTTTACTCCTCCAGAAGATATATACAAATATATCTGAAGCTATGGAAGTTGCTTCTAGATGATGGAATAATGAACACCAATGGACAGGCTTTAAATGATCCATGAGAAGATATTTGGTACAAGGTTACTTATATTTCTGATCAGGAGTTCTTGTGGCTCTTAAATACAGGACACAATTATCTTCATTATACTTTTCTTGTAAGAATGGTATTTATTTCACAGATTTGTGCTGGTGAATAGAAAACACAGGAGATCACTTTGAGAAGTGCTTACTTCTGATTGCACAAGTTCTTCTTTCAAAGTATATCAAGCAAGGGGTGAGGAGTATGAAGTTCTCCAGATGTTCCTGAACAACTAGAATTCTTCACTGTGATCATGCTAAATGTAGTTGTTGGGAGTTGTTGTTCAGCATTTCTGGAGGACCATTGTTTCCCATCCCTGATACAGAATTTTAACAAATGAGCTTCTGTCTGCTGGAATGCAACTTTTAAAATAGTAATGTCAATAATCTTGCAAAGTACAGTTATCATTTAGGAATGGAATTGGAATTGGAATAATAAATAGCTGCTTCATGGCTTTACTTGATTTTTTTGTTCATTTTTTAATTTCGCTATGCCAGTCTGTCAGGGTGTGTAGATTTAATAGCTGTAAGCTGATGAGAGGTTGTAAGTGGAGGCAACTGAAAGCTGATGCAATGGGAATGAGGCAGCAGGGTTACTGTCACTTTAAGATGCCAGGTAAGAATTTGCCTATATAAGGGAAGCCATTAGAGGGCGTCTCTCTTCTCATGTTCTCTCTTGTCATGTATCTCATTGCTTTCTGTGTGTCAGTAGCTGTATGATAAGGTATTTAACCACATATAAGTCTGTTAATATTTAGCTGTATATAAACCACTGTTATTTATCTAAAGGCTCTGTGTGCTGTGTTTTGCTCCTGGGTTTATCTCATAATACTAATCACGCTGCCTAAACTCTGACACAGTCTGTCACAAACAATAATAAAACTTGAAAGCATATTTAACATTTTATTCATTAACTTGGGCAAGGCAAATTTGTAAATGCCAGCAAGTGAAATCAAAGCTTGTGCTCTGAAAATTGTCCTAAATCTGTCCTTTCCCACATTCCTTATCCATTATACCACTGTTGGTCAGCTGTTGATCCAGTTCTCAAGGACTCTACCTTCTTATGTTCATTTGGCTCATATGGACAAATGGAAAAAAAATAAAGAGCCATCATGGCCCACAGAAAGTAAAACCTCTTTGCACATTCCAGTTTCTAGCTTCGGGCTTTACAGCAAATTGATTTTATTGTTAACATACCAATATCCACCTTAAATCCAACCAGTCTAGAATGGAAACCATTGCCTTGTCTTTTATTGCTTTGGCTTCTGGAATAACTTTCTGCAGCCTGAAACCCATCTGATATGGTACATATTGAACTTTCTGCCTCCATCTGGTGGGCTTTTTGGGAGCTTAATCCCAATACATCACCAGCAGGGGTGAAATGCTCCCGGTTCGGACCAGATCCCCCGATCCGGTAGCGATGGAGGCAGGTGGTTTGGAGAACTGGTAGCAAACATCCCTGCCCACCCCCATGCCCAGCTGAGCCACGCGATCATCAGAGGCTTTTTTTTTCCTTTTGAAAGCATTTTTTCTACAACCTCTTCGGCCCAAAAAAATGCTTTTAAAAGTCTTTTTAAAAAAAGCCTCTGATGATCGTGCGGCTCAGCTGGGATCATCAGAGGCTTCTAAAAGCATTTTTTTTTGCAACCTCTTCGGCCGAAGAGGTTGTAGAAAAAAATGCCTTTAAAAGCCTCTGGCGATCCCAGCTGAGTTGCCTGATTGCCAGAGGCTTCTAAAAGCATTTTTTCTGCAACCTCTTAAGGTTGTAGAAAAAATGCTTTTAAAAGTAAAAAAAAAAAAGTTGGCCACTCCCACCCAGTCACATTCCCCCCCCCACCAACCCACGCCCACCAAACCAGTAGTAACAAAATTTACATTTCACCACTGATCACCAGGTTGAGGAAAATTAAGTTAAGTGTTCACGTTTGCCTCTACCTCAATGTTAGGGAAGCATTGTATTTTATATTTTTGTAGTATTTTATTATTCTTTTGTTTGTCAACCACAAAAATGCAAATTACAGTAAAACCCACTCTAGATGCAATTGTCCAACAGGATTCAAGAAAGTCACTATTCCCAGACTGCATTTTCTCCCTAAAAAGCAAGCTTGTTTGGGAAATTTATACATTTTAATATGTCTGGCTGGATTGTGAGAAAAATACAAGAAAGACAAAGTTTTGTGGGAAAAAATAAAGTGGAATCATAGCCAATATTTCTTTATGAGGAATCTTATTGTTGAAGTTAATTAGCATTGGCTTTAAGGAACAATAAGGATTTTCTGCCCAGCTGTATCATGACTTACAGCAGCGTAACTATTGTTTTTGGAAAATTCTGTTTCCTTGGCACTTTGCTTGAGATTGGTTATATCTTGTTTTACTAGGAACAGTTTGTAAACACAAAGCATTCCTTTTGAGAGCAGAAGGTAGGCAAATATTCCTACACACTTGTAGAAATTCCAGAGGCAGCTAGGAAGATATTTCCTTCTTAGGAGAATTTATCTGAATTTACTTAGTAATATTTGCCACAAATGTTATTCCTCCCCCTTTTAATCCACAGTAATTAAATAAAAAACCAAGGTAGGTAATCTTTGGATTATTTAATTGTAGGCGGTGGGAAGAATGCAGAGGCAATTATGTTGGATAGAGGCAGTGATATAAAGTAGGTGAGGGTTTGTTACTTGCAACAAGATTAAAATCTGGCTTCCCCCATTTAAGACTTTCAAACAATATGAAAACTACTCTGGAGTTTATCATACAGATTTATGTTTCCTTCTTCATATACTGAAAACCAAACTACTGATTGTTTGGCAGCATAATGGGGGTGAGGTGACAGAGTCCTCAGATGAAGTGATAGTCCTTGATTTACAATCATTCGTTTAGTGACTATTCAAAATTACAATGGCACTGAAAAAAAGGTTGTACGACCAATCCTCACACTTATGACCAATACAACATCCCTACAGTTATGTGATCAAAATGTGGAAGCTTGGCAACCAACGTGTATTAAAGACGGCTGCAGCATCTTGGGATTGTGTTATCACCATTTGTAACCTTCCCAAGAGGCTTTCGACAAGCAAAGTCAATGAAAGAAAGCTGAATTTGCTTAACAATTACATGATCCATTTAACAACTGTGATTTTTCTTAACAACCATGGTAAAAATGGTAATAAAACTGGGCACAGCTCATTTACAAACTGCCTTGCTTAGCAACAGAAATTCTGGTTCCAATTCTGGTTGTGAGTCAAGGATTAACTTTACTTCAAATTGCAGGGTGTCCAAATATGACGGATATGAGTCACGTATCTTAAGTTATAAGCTGTCATATTTTGTTCTGGCTCAGTTCATTGACTAGTTTCAAGCAATTATGGCTTCTAAGCCATAATTATGATTTAGCATTGTGTATGAATTTATATGTGGCTTCTTAACCATAAGGAATTGCTTTCAGATTGTCCAGCAATAACGAAGTTAAAACTCAAGGATACATACATACATACATACATACATACATACATACATACAT